CTTTTGAATGACGATAACATCCTCCTACTTAAGGTCAGCAACAGACAACAGTACTATTTGAAGACAGAACAACCTCTTCCTTGAACGGATACCCTAGATCCATGATGGCGTGAATATGAGCAAGGTGACGAGGGACACGGGTCTTCCCTTTGCGCGGGTAAGGCTTCTCTTCATGATGTCTGCGAACAGTACTGCTAGAGCGGCGGCGACGGTCCACCATATCTCGATCACGAACGTCTCTGAACTCTTCATCACCATAGTAGTCGGGCTCGGCAATCCTAATATCCTCATAGACTTCTCGCTCACGATAACGGCCCGGAGAGAGATGGCGACGAGGCGGAGCAACGACAGGTACACGGGGAGCGCGGGGTCGGTCTCGGGCATCGAAGTGTTCCATCTTGCGCCGCGGTATGCGGTCGAAGGTGTCCAAGGACGACTGCCGCCTAATAAGTTGGGGACGACGGAATGAGGGACTGTCATCACGGCGCCGACGCCGGTCATGCGCCACAAGAGACATGGCAGGGGATGGGTGGTCTAGATGGTCATCCTCATAGAGTCTCCCGGGTGCGCGCGCAGGGGGTCCATATCGGTCTTCCTCACGGAGACGTGCTTCAAAGCGCTCTTCGGCATGGCGGGGTCGTTCGGCCACGGGGGGGACCCCGTGAGTATCGATCGTATCGATCGCGAGAGTCCAGGGTCCCTGTCGACGAGCGATAGTCATCATATCGAGACATCTGGAAGTATCACCGGATTTCACAACAAAAAGGGGAGAATGAACCGTGGATGACGCGAGCGGCTGACTTCCGTACCGAGGGTGGGGTTTCCGAGGAACCACAAGGCGAGAGAGACTGATAGACTGATAGGAAGAGAGAGAGACTGGGAGGCAGAAATGAGCAAGGAACAGAAAACAGAAATCAAGAATCAGCCTTGGGGGGTAAAAAGAGACAAAAAATAAAAAATAAATGAGAGAGGTAAAACTTCAGGCAGAAGTCGATCAGTGATGACATTGGGTCGGACGTATTTCGAATGTGGGGGAGATGGACTCGAAGACCTACCTGCGCCACACCTGTCTACATTACTGTATGATCTGTATGTCATGCCTAATGTACTATGTACATGTATGTACTAGTCGGCGAGGTACTGGTGCATTGTATACTTCAGCCAATCCTAAACCTCTAAATTCGCAATGTCCTCTTCCAAGATCCCCAAAGCCCAATGCGCTCGATCTGACTTGACTGTCACAAATCGACGATCTTCAACCTCTTTCGACACAGCCTCATACTGTGGCGCATTACATTAGCGTGGATGTTGTAGGCCAAGGGTATCCAATAGATCCAATAGGTATGCTTACCTCAAGCTCTTGTTCCCTTTCTCGTACTCGGTCAGTCTCAAATGACCGTTGATAGGGTGGCCCACGACCTTGCTTTGCAGCGACTAGCCATGCTTTCTCACAACCACCTGCAATAGCATCCGCGCTCTTCCACCCAGTCAGGCGAGAGATGTCGCGAAGTTTTGATATCGTCCATGTTCGCTGCTTGGGATCATTATATTGCACGGCGGCAAAGAATAGTGGCACCGACATGTCAATTAGCGAAGAACCCAAATTCGGACTCAAGCTTCCGGCTTCGAGGTTAAAACGTTGTGGGTAGTAGACACCCCCAGGATCTTCCCAATAATCTGGGCAAATCCAGCTGTTGTTGGAGCACAGACCCCGGCTGCCATCATAATGGCCGGCGGCATAGAGGGATGAATCCGATTCAGCAGAAGGCGCATAGCATAATAGAACCCCCAGATCACGGCAATGGTATGTGTACGGTATTGAAGAGCAGGACCGAACGGTGTCGAGATTGGGGGCGCGACATCCGCTGGCAAAGGCTGGAAATCGCGACCCAACGCTTGGGAGAATGTGTCCATGGCGACCAGGATCTCTTCCCATTCTTGTTCGGCTTCCTTGTAACTCATGTCGTGGGCCGGGTCATCCTCGTCTGGTGACAAACGAGGCTCACGCGGTCTATCTTGGAATCCCGAGGGAAGGCGTGCAGGCGGTTGAGGGGGTACCATTCCGTACATGGGGGGACTGTCGGCAGAGGTCGGCCCAGGGCTTGAAGAAGGAGACACTCCAGTAGAGTCTGGCACGGATGGGGCCCTGGAGTCCCCTTTACGCTGCATATTAGACGTGCCGGATGGAGGGCCAGGCGGGCCCCCCGGACCGAAGCCACCAGATGGTCCAGGTCCTTGACCCGGAGGGCTGCCAGCGAACCGACCCATGAATTTGAACATCTCAGGGCCGGGCCTCCAGTCCACCCCGCCTGACTTTAGGGTTCTCAATTTTCGCTTACGATCACGGAAGCCAAAATCTGTGACCCGAGCGAGCAGTAGCCATAGATGATCTGCGGAGCCGTAGATGGCATCTAAACGGCCAATGCCTGCTCGAGGCGGACATTGACCCCATTGAGAATAGGGCATTCTGGTTTTACCAATAAGCAAAATCATTTTGTCTGTTAGTAGCCGTGGGTGTAGACTTACAATAGTTTGTTCCCGCCGATAAAACTCTGGAGTGCATCTTGCTTTGCGTACCACCAGTATAGATCACATTGAATCCGGAAAACTTCAATGTCCTTGCGGGTGAAATGCTTTGCGGATGGCAACGTACCCTCCTCATTGATACATCCAAAATGGTCGTAGTTGACTGCTCGTCCAATAATGGCGCCTAGGAGATCTTCATCGACGCTCTCCTCTTTCTCAGAGAAGGGATCGTCCTCAGAGACATCGCCAGGCATCCCCCACCACGAGTCCGACCAGCCCGACTGGCGTCGCTTTTCGTGAGCTCTACGTCTATGGGCCCGTAGGTCTCTGGTGGTCTTGGAAAAGTCGATTTCTCGGATCAGATGGGTGGACCCACCAAGGTGGTTATTCCATTTCGAGTGGTCGGCAGATATCACCTCGTAGTAGCCCAGTAAAAGAGTGGCAGCCAAGGTACCGACCTGCTTACGCCGGAGGGGAAGGCCAACGGCGGAACCAACTCGTTTTAGGGCGTAGTGATAGTGCTTCAAAGATACTGTTGTGGGAACTTGCTGTAAATATGCAATGTGTAAGCTACTGACAGCCAGTATTGCCTGGAGGAGGGCTGGGTGCTCCAAAGCTTTGAGGGCAAGCGTATAGACCCATAGCCCCTGCTGTGCCGGTGGGACAGTCGCCCCCAGAACAATCGAAGAGTCAGTAGGGTGTCGTTCAAATATAGATATGGATGGACCAGTCGAGTGAATGAAGTGAGCAAAGATGCGGGCAGTCTTTGGGTTGTTCAGAGGAGAAGAGCCAAGTGTAGGACGATATGAGGCGAGCACGTTGGGCTCGTTCAGGTAAGTCGTGAAGGAGCGGAGTTGTCGTTCATCGCCGTTAGCAGAGGCCATGATGAGACTCAACTGGTTGAAGCCTTCGGCCTGCGATTGATCCACCGTTTCATCGTCCGAGTCTACGTCGTAATAATCCTCGCTTTCATCCTCCATGTATATCACTTGTGGTTGATGCGGTATCTGATGGGGTATAAACTGGTCATGAGACAGCAATTGCTGCGGTAATTGCCCTGGCGGTGGCTGATAATGATATATCGTCGGCAGCGGCTGGGTCATCTAAGAGATTATAGTCAGCATACCAGCCGTTAAAAGAAAAGAGATAATGGCAATGCATACCTGAGGAAGCGGGTTGATCTCGCTCTCCCTGTTTCCCGGCAATGGATTGAGCGCTGGTACCGGGGAGACATCGGAGGCGTGTTCTTCTGCTGTCTGACCAACCGGGCTGGCGATCCCGGGTACATCTTGTAAGTTTGCATGAGGCCTATGCGGAGCGCTCGTCTGGCCAAACTGGACAGATTGCTGTGCTTGTGGGAAGTCAGTCCCAACCAGCGTGCCCTCCGTTTGAGCTATCGGGTGAATGTGCCACATGTGGCTTGGTGGCTGCATTTGAGCTGCTGGATAATAGAAGGGAGGTACATTAATCGGCTGGATTTGACTCGAGGAAGAGGTTCGGGACGGGGATGAATGATATCCCATCGCCGCTGGGTCGACGGGTCGCGGAGCTAGCATTGGATGCTGAGCAGCGGCTGCCGCTTGTTGGGGAGGGAGTTGAGAGCCGTAGTCGTTGTGCATCGGCAGACTCATATGTCCTTGCTCTATTTGTGGATCCTGGCCGTGGCCACTATTGAAAGACCCGAAGATGCCTATGGGGTTCTTGAACACGACTCGCTGGGCATATCCCTCACAGATCCGCTTGGATTTCACGCAATTGGTGCATATTGGTTTCTCTTCGCCGCACTTGATCCGGCGCTTGCGACAAGCTATGAGGCTTCGTCAACGAGGGAACTCTCTATCCCCAATGTTCTGTAACATACTCAAACAGCCGGTTTTGGTTCGTTTCTTCGGGAGTCTGCGGGAACCTGACCGTGCGGTTGAGGCTTCCGCAGAACCGCCAACAGTAATATCCGCTGGCATGTCCAGCTGGTCTTTCAGGTCGTCAGCCATAACCTTGGGAGGACTCAAGATTGCAGAGTGGACATGTGCGAGGACATTGTGGGGGTAAAAGGCACGATGATCAGATAAATAAGAAATAGAGCTAAGAGGGAAAAGCTGCCGAGGATCGCAGATCACCCGTGATACATCGTGGTTCGTCAAGGATATGATCACCTACATATCTGCAGTATTCTTTCTTAAGGCACAGTCAGACTGCTACAGTATTATTGACATTCATACCTACCTAGGTAGGTAATTACAAGGGCTTATGAAACGTCTAGGGTGTCCGTACAACGTTCTTGTGCTCCAAAACAACGTCATATAGGCATTTAGGCGAGGTTTACCCCGGTCTGGCGCCTGAGGCACCAATGTGTATGTAATCTGATAGTAAAATTACCGATAACGAAATTTTGAGAGGGTTTTTTTTTCCCTGAGGTGCCGTTTCCTCTACTTCGAAGGCATTGGACATTTACAACCAATCCTTTAGAATTAATCATGTTCGCTGTTCCAGGATGGTCCGTTGAGAGTTCTGCTCTAAAGCCACAGACTCAGGCCGCGCAACCCAAGAACGAGTCTCAGCCGGAGAAGGATGCCTCCAACGCTAATGCGAAGAACAATAAGCGCAAGCGTGCCAACGATCGCGTCACCGCAGGCAATGTGGATGAGATGTACCGGAGGCACATCGAGGGTACGGCCAAGGGTGGAAAGCGTGGCGCAGATGCTTTCGTGAAGCCAGAGAAGAAGCAGAATACGGAAAAGAAGGATAAGCAGACACTTGAGACAGCCACCACCCAGGGGCCTACAAGCGAAACTGCTGCCGCCGATCCAGACGCAGGTCAAGCCGAAGATAAAGCACCCAAGAAGAAGAAGCAAAGGAAGAACAAGAAGAACAAGGAGAACAAGGACAACGTCCCAGAGGACAAGACTGAGGCAGGTGGTGCTACCACTACTCCGGCTAAAGAAGTTCCTGCTCCTGCTCCTGCTCCCGCTGCACCTGCACTCCCACCAACATCGAACCTGACTCCGCTCCAGCAAGCAATGCGACAGAAGCTGGTCTCCTCTCGGTTCCGCCACCTGAACGAAACCCTCTACACCACCCCCTCCGCGAAAGCACTCGAGATGTTCAGTACAAACCCGGAGCTCTTTGACGAGTACCATGCCGGATTCGCGCGACAGGTGAAGGAGTCCTGGCCCTCCAACCCGGTCGATGACTACATCAAGACCATCCGCACCCGCGGTGCCATCCCGCTTCCCAGGCGAGGGAAGCCCCTTAACCCTGCTAAGGGTTACCCGCTCCCCGTCGTCCCACCGGACTATGCACATTCGCCGATCTGGGCTGTGGCGATGCACAGCTCGCGCGCGCCTTGACACCCTCCGCCAAGAAGCTGAACATCAAGCTCAACAGCTACGATCTGGCAGCGCCCGATCCGCTGATCACCAAAGCCGATATCTCGAATCTTCCCTTGGAAGATGGAGCGGCGGATGTCGCTATTTTCTGTCTGAGCCTGATGGGAACCAATTGGGTTTCGTTCGTCGAGGAGGCATGGCGTATTTTGCGGGGTGACGGCAAGGGCGAGTGCTGGGTCAGTGAGGTCAAAAGTCGATTTGGCAAGGTCCAACGCAAGAAGTCTCAGATCGGCGCGCAGAAGCCCGGCAGCAAGGCAGACAAGAAGAAGTCCAAGAAGAAGGGCGGTGAAGATTCCGACGTCGACGAGACTGATATCTTTGCTGAGGATGTGCGGCCGTCTGACAATAACGACGAGACTGATATCTCGGCGTTTGTGGAGGTGTTCCGGTCTCGTGGGTTCATGCTTCGCCAGGAATCCGTGGATAAGTCCAATAAGATGTTTGTGAGAATGGTGTTTGTTAAGCAGGGTGGTGCGCCTACCAAGGGGAAACACGCTTCGGCTCTCAGCGCGCCTGCGCCTGGTAGCAAGAAGCGCTTTGTTGACCGCAAGCCTGAATCAGAGTCTGGCATGTCACCTGAGCAGGAGGCACAGGTGCTGAAGCCATGTGTTTATAAGATCCGTTAGATGTTGCGAAGGATGGGTTCATATGTTATTATACATAGCCAAAATATCCCATGCATGACCACCACATTCACGGACAATCTACTGCATGAAATACGATGTAGTTAGGCCAGCATATGAGCGTTGGACGGCATCGTCATTATTTTTCTATTGCTCCCGACATAGGTACTAGCCTCCAAATCGAGTCCAAGGAGCCACTTCAAGAGATATCTTCGACACTAATCGCCCTCATTGGTTGCCACCCAGCTGTGTGACGGCGTGGCCCATCTCCTCATCGTTGTAGATACGGAAACCCTTCTCCTTGGTGACACTAGCCAGCTGGACATTCTTAGAATCAAGTTTCTCCTCCATGACCTGCTTCAGCGTCTTGAGGACCAACGTCTCGGCCTCTGCTAGAGTCAAAGACCGATGGTATTCATTCTGCAGCTCCGCCTGCGCGCCTTCGCTTCCCGAGCCAATGGCCTTGGCGTCATACCGGTAAAATGTGCCGGACGGTTCAGCGTGGTATCTAGCAAGCAGTTAGTAAATAAATTAGAAAAAGGCAACTGCATATCTTACAGTTGGGGCCCGTCCTCATCATAACCAGCGATTAACAGCGCAACACCAAACGGTCTGCTCATGACACTCTCCTCGTCATCACCGCTCTCACCGAATCGCAGAGCTAAATCGCAAATTGCCTGCGTGGTACTCTCGACCCGCAGAGGCTCGGCATAGTGGAAGGCGTGGTTCTGGCACTCGACGCGGGCATGTTCGACCAGGTTGCGGGCATCGGCCTGCAGACCAGACATGGCACAGCCAATGTGCTGATCAATTTCGACGATCTTCTCGACGGACGACGCTTCGAGCAGCGTAGATGTGACACGCTTCTCGACACCGAGGATCACACCCTCGGAGGTTGCTACCTAGATGAGTGTTAGGAACGACGGTCCCATAATCGCATTATCCTTGGTGTTGCGCTCCGACAACAGTACAAAGATCGCTCGTTGTGTTTGGAGGGCATTCTAGGAATCTTGGAGCAAAGAGGAACTGAGTGGTATGACATACTCCGATCGCGGTGGAGCCCAATTTGATAGCTTCAAGAGAGTATTCGACCTGGAACAAACGACCTTCGGGGAGAAGGTGCTGCGGAGGGAACATTGTCAGGCTGCGGGTCTGTCTAATCACAGGGATTAATCTCGAATAACGTACTTGATTCCACGGTCTGTCCAGAGCTGTTAGTTGATTCCGCGGTGAGGGGGAGATCCTGACGAAGCTTACCATACTCTGATCGTGCAATGAACATATTGGAGTATCTGATGGGACGGGAGAGACTTGTCTAAAAAAGAAGCAATAAAGCAATATAGAATCACGATGGAGGAGAGAATCAGTTGGAACGGAAGAGGAGCAGAGGTGGATGTCTGAGTGAAGCTCGGGAAGGGAAGCTCTCGACGTACGCAAGAGGTGAGGTGCCTGTTACTGCCTTGGTGCCTGAGGCGACATCTACCCAAACCAAAAGTGGAGTTGTTTTGGATACTTGCATCTTCTCATATACATTGGTTCTGCTATTTTTGTTACTGATTCTTCGATTTCGCGCCCTTCGATCTCCTATGCTGCATGATCTACTCGTCGCCCTCGCGGGACTATGTCTGCCAATGACCGCGCCGCGTATATGAGCGCTCCACGACCCCGCGCCGTCTCCAATCGCGTCGATTCCGAAACCCGTGGACCGTCGCCGCTACAAGTCGAGAACAAGGATCCTTTGCGCCACAGCACCTCGAGTCAGAAACACAGAGCTTCCCGCGATCAGAAGAGCATGTCCGAGAAGCGCCAAGAACGAATGGTGGTCACATCACGGGAAAAGGCAGTGCGAAGGAACCCTGCGAACCCTGCAGCTAGCAGAGGCGATTGGGATAGGACTCGGCCTCGGAAGCCCGTTCAACTCGATGACGCAAACCCCAGTTCTCGGAATGGGGATAATGGCGCGGTAGATTGTGAGTAGTCCCTACGTCGCAATACAATGGATTTTGCTAACCACGATCTTTCATTTACAGCTCCGTGGAATCCCCAAGCGTCATTGATACCACACTCGACAGCTCCCCTCGCATGTCGTGTATCAGTTCCCCCTCTAGCTTCGACGGCCCCGCAAGCCCTTCACCCTCGGCCACTCCGAGAGCTCTCACCCGATGCCCAGGAAGCAGCGATCCTGGAGGACTTGTTGTTCGTCTTCATGGGATTTGAAGGTCAATACATTCACTACGCTAGCTCATACGATCCATCGATCGAGAAAGACCGGCTTACGGGCCCAGTCTTCAAGATAGCCCCGGGCCTAGATCCGACACTCCGTGACCTCATCCAGTCAATGCTGAAAATGGCGACACACTACAGTGCTATGGAGGCATTTGTGGAAATACAAAGCCGCGCTGAGTGTGGCGCCGTCAGTCACTCGCTGTGTGCATCTATTCGAAGACTCCTCAAAGACTACCTGATCCTTATCGCCCAGCTGGAAGGCCAGCTGCTGAACAATCCTACATTTACCTTGCACCTCCTTCATCTCCACACAATGCCCACCAGTCAATGTCTAGCCCAACTATATTCGATGGGCCAGGAACTGCTGCTCAAAAATGGTCTTCTAGATGAAGACCTTGAGGAGTCGATTGACGACTTCGATGAAGATGTTGACAATATACTTGAACAGCTCAAAGAAGGCGGAGACTTAGTACCAGGGTCTATGGCCCGCAAGAAAATGTGCAAAGGAGGCAATATTCTTGGACTCCTAACGGGACGTCTGGCCTCATTCTCAGGTGATCCAATCACCAAAACCCTGCTTCAGACGTTACTGCGTGATGCCAGTAGGCCTTACATGGCCATGCTGAACGAATGGCTGCACCACGGCGGTATCAAAGATCCCCACGCCGAGTTCCTAGTCAAGGAACAAAAATGGATCAAACGCGAGAAACTCGAGGAGGACTACACGGACGAGTATTGGGAGAAACGCTATACGATTCGAGAGCACGAGGTTCCGCCTCAGCTGAAGAGCGTGCAGGATAAAGTTTTACTCGCTGGAAAGTATCTCAACGTGGTGCGTGAATGCGGTGGTGTCGACGTCAGCAAAGAGGTCAAAGATGTCCCGAACACGCTCGACGATCCACGCTTCTTGGACAACGTAAATTCCGCCTACACCTACGCCAATGCTTCCTTGTTGAATCTTCTCGTCACGAAAAACTCCCTTACTACCCGGTTCCGCTCCCTGAAACATTACTTCTTCCTGGATCGCTCCGATTTCTTTTCGTACTTTCTTGAACTTGGTGCTTCCGAGCTACGAAAACCGGCACGCGCTGTCAACGAGGGCAAGCTCCAGTCTCTATTGGATATTGTCCTTCGACAGCCCGGCAGTGTTGCAGCACTGGACCCGTTCAAGGAAGACGTCAAGGTGCGAATGAACAAGATCGGCCTCACGAAATGGTTGATGCAAGTTGTGAATGTTTCAGGAGTCAACCAAGAGGGCGCAGAAGCGGAGAAGCAACAAGTGTCCGCCGTCCATTCCACCGACGAGGACAAAGATATTCTTGGATTCGATGCGCTTGAGCTGGACTATTCAGTTCCATTCCCTCTGTCATTGGTCATTAGCCGCAAGACTGTTCTGCGGTATCAACTTATTTTCCGTCATCTTCTGTCGCTGCGCCATCTCGAGACGTTGCTGGTCACGTCCTGGGCAGACCAGAACAAAACCACCAGCTGGCGTCATAAGTCCTCCGATCGACGGCTTGAAATATGGAAACGACGGGCGTGGAACCTGCGCGCGAAGATGTTGGTGTTTGTTCAGCAGCTTTTGTACTTTTGTACGGCCGAGGTCATTGAGCCGAATTGGGTGGGTCTGATGGACCGTGTCAACAGCGTTGACGCCGATGCGTCGGAGGTGGAGGAAAATGATATGAAGCAGGTCAACCGGACGGTTGATGAACTGATGCAGGATCATGTGGATTTCTTGGATACGTGTTTGAAGGAATGCATGCTCACACAGGCTAAACTGTTGAAGGTACGTTCCTCCACACTCGCGGTAGCATTCATACTAATAACTATATAGATTCATTCGAAACTGGTGACTTGCTGCACCATGTTTGCTTCCTGGACTGCGGCATCACTTTCACGCGCCTTGGCCTCAGCCGATCCCGACCTGGCTGGAGGCAAAGTCCCGGGCGCTGATGCCAGAGGATATGATCCAACGCGAATTGGAAAACTCGAGGACACATTGAAACGATACGAGGATCATTTCTCGCGCCATCTTCGCATTTTGATGGACAGGTGAGCAACGCCCTTAGACATTCACATTACTTGTTCTAACTGCACTATACAGCTTGAACTACTTCGCTGCCACGGAGAGTGTGGTCCTTCTGAAGCTTGCACACTCCTTGACCTCTATCAGCCGAGAGGAGAGTAAAGAGGATTGAAAGCTTGCAATCCTTGCTCTGTGTATTTTATACCTTGATATCATTATCAACATAATCAACCCACAACAGAGACGCGGTTGGGTGCTCTGGCTATGGGCACAAGAAGGAAAGCGCTTCAGGCCAATGATGTCTGCTGGCTGCCACCTTGAAGCCGGTGATACGGACCCATATGCCACAGATTGTCGAACACCGCAGCGATGAGCGATTCACCGAAACCATCCGAAGTGGAATTGGGTCCAAACGGGCTATATCGCACCTACCTACAATATGTAGGTATCAAGCCACGTCTGTGGGGCCGTGGAAATCAGATCACTGTACCTAGATCCATGAACCAAGTCATGCCAGACACGGGGATTAATGATAATACGAGTAGCATAGCGAAAGGAATCTCAGATTTACAATGTGAAGTGTCCCTTGCCTAACAAATTCCGGAAGAGATCCGGAGCACGCGAATTCCTCGGGATCGCGTCAGCAAGCGGCTTCTCACGTCAGCCGGATTTGGCCTGCAATAACGACCACCTGGGCATTTCTGTATAATTGCAAGAATCCCTCTGGTATTCGTGAAATTCAAAAAGGAATAAAATAAAGATAAAACACCCTACATATCTCCAAGCGTATACTCCGTACTATCGACACAAACACCACAAACATGCCAATAACCCTCACCTCCGTCCTCCGCATCCCATTCCCACACCCCAACACAACCCAAGACCGCCTAACCCTGGCCCTCAGCGCCGCAGCGCTAGTCGTCTCGACTCTCATCCTCCCCGCCGCCTACCGCGATTACAAAATCTTCAAATCCTACGGACCCGGCGGGCTGCCGAACAACGCGCTGGGATGGGTTGTCGTGCGCGCGCTGTTCCAGCCATTCGGGCGCGAGATGTTCAGCACAGACGAGTACGCGAGGCGCATTGCGGCAGCTGAGGGCCACGGGAAGGGCGATGATGGGTTTTTGATCTTGTCCGAGGAACAGTTGGGGAGTCGGCGTGGGGAAGGGAGGCCTGTTGTTGGACCGCACGTTGTACCGCAGAGGCAGTTGACGCAGCTGCCAGATAAGGCTGTCATGGAGGTATGTGTGTATCCCTAGGCTAGGGTGAAGAGCTATGACCTGATCGTGTTATCGTGACAGAAATTCCGTACTGTGTTCACTGCCTTCGGTCATCGGAACCATCACCTAGTGAAATTCCAGAGGTCGAATCTGGAACGCCACGCTGATGGGCTCTTTGTCGCAGACCATCTTCCTGTCTCCGGGATTGCACAAACTATGCGGCGTGAGATTGCGCATATTCATTCGGGGAACGACCACTCGGTTCATGTGGTTCTTGCACCAGCTGATTGTATGGTCTGCTCAATTCGTCTGATGTTCCTGTGCTAACATTACTTTCTAGGTATCAAGGTTATCGAGGCTGGTTTGGGCCAGCGTCATGCTTTCTCGGGTACATCTGCGATCGGGCTTCTTTCGCTTGGCACGAGGCCTGATATCCCGGCGGAATTTGTTTTGATCTATGCGCCACGGACGGAAGCGGAGATTGAGACAGTTATGCAGATTGTTTCAGCGGGCGTCAAGTTTATGACGGGGAGGGAGGATGTGCGGTAGGCCAAGTGCTTTTTGTACTGACCTTGTGCTTGAAGGGGTACTGGCGGTGTTCTAAGGTGCATTCCTCTGTTGTAAGCGTTATGCTTAGTTTCTTCCTATTCTCTGTGTAGCCTTATATACCCCACTCTTCGATTTATGGAAATTTCTGCTGTTTATATGAGCATATGTGGCAGCGACAGTGCTTTTCACGATCAATGGCTGGTAGATCATACATATATATGTGTACTTACGCATTGAGACTATATACGACATTCGACTAACACTCCTCTGTATACGCTCGTTAAAGCTCAATGACGATGCACTTTCTCGGTTTGAAATTTGCTACATGTTTAATTTAACCTCTATTATAGCACTCTCCTTCTGCATCCGAGATGCTCACCATTGGGATACCCTAAGTTGACTCGGATACAAATTGAGATATTATCATCTACCAGCCTCACTTTGGACCAAAGAGGTAGTAGAAGTGCCTTGCTGGATGGTCTGCCCCGGTGATAATTTGTCATATTTAGTAGGTGTAATATATAATTACATACTCCGTAGTGGGTTGCATGTGTTTCTATCCCGAGGAATCTGCTGATGATCATACAATGTTGGGACTATCCAACATTTTTTCTCTCTTCTGCCATGCTAGTATATTAGTAGGACCGTGACTACCTAAGTGCGTGTATAGCTCCCTATTTGGAAGCTGAGCCACTATATTGGGGCTACGATATGGAGAACGGGGCAGTGAATGGTTGAATACGCTAAGGGGGAAATCCCAAAATTACCCGTTTTATTCCGAGCTAGATTCCCATATATTTTTCTTCTATATATATATATTTTCAGGTTCAGAAATAGGAGAGACCTTTGAAGTGTACATATTTACCTACCTAGGTAGGTATATCTAAGACCAAAAGGAAAGAAAAAAAAGTTGGTAGGCGGCCCCCTTACCCGAGAGATGAACCATGGCGCTGGGTTTTCAGCCAACGGCGGGGACGGGTAAGCCCTGTCGAAATCCCGACAGTTTGGATGAGTACGGAGTATACTGTACCTAGGTATATGGGGGAGGGTTTTTTTTTCCCTTTTGCTTCAGACTTAAGAGTCTTTTTGAATTGGGATGCAACAGTGGATATACTTGAAAAATGGACTTATGCGTAACGAGACTGGGAAATGTCTGCTTTGACATCTCGTCATATAATCATATATTAAAGGTTATGAGAGAACAATATGCAGTGGGAATATTGTTCACTGTGACTCTGCAAGTACCAAGGTCCTTGAACTGGAGATGGATTGTTGCTGTCAGGGAGTGGGACCCCCATTGTCTCGGAGAATTGACCCAGGGTGAAGAAAAAATAGGAGTACCTACGGAGTACTGAGTGCTCCGTACAATGGTACCAAAGGGGGCGACAATAATTTCAAAGGCCTTTTCTCGGTGGATTCGGACGGAGTGGATACTGCCCATGTCGTATATTGTGTAATGGCATCCATGGATATTCCGTACCTTCTCGTAAAGGCAATGGATATCCACATTCACACGGGATATCTTTCCCGCCGCCCAGTACTCTCAGCACGGAGTAAGCAAGTACAATATACCACAAACCAAGGCACACCAAGGCAAACCCAAACAGGAGAAGTATCTAGAAAAGGCAGAGGATCAAAACAGCATCGATCCATTGCATCGGTACTTCTGTCATATTGGGAGTATCCGGAGACAGGCTAAAAATCCCTGTAGCAAATCTCCATAGTGTCCCACTCCAACGTCCGAATCGGACGCAACCTTGGAAAACTGTTCGGACAAGCGGTGAGAGAGCGAAGTTGGAGGGGCAAGAAATAAAATAAAATCCCAAAACCAAACCCACCAAAATTCCGAGGGAATGGATGCCCCAAGGAGGAAGTTGCTGATCCTGCCCGTCAAGCCCCACTCAATTTGAGGGGCTGTTGGAGCCATTTTGGTGAGACCGGACTGGACAAGCCACTTGGCACAGTCCTGCACATGGGAGAAGAGACGGTCTGACCATAGGCGAAGGGGCTGGAAGCCATAGCCATTCGGTCCAACTGCTTTCCTTTTTAGTTGCATTCTTCATTTGAGTGACAGCGGGAACCGGTGATCCCTTGGCCTTTGGCATCGGCAATGCAGGGCTTATTTGGTCTGTACAACGTACATACGCAAGGGTTGGCGTAAATTCCAACCCGGATTTTCTTCTTCTCGGTCCGCTTTATCATGGCCAATTGCTCAACTCTTCTTTTTTCTTTCTCCGTATGGTGTCTCATGTCGTACATCGGCTGCATTGCCCTCGTTTCAAACCTCATGGCGAAATGCTGCATAATTTTGCTTCAATTGATGGATGGTCCGTTTTCTTCCATTCTTCACCGAGTCCTTGTTACATTGTTTGTTCGCTGCGGTGGAATCATGGTGAGGAGTTCGAGTCAAGATGCGATTCAATTTTCTGTAGACTTGCACTTTAACCGCTGATGATAGTCGCGGAATTACCCACATGTTTAACATGCTAATTTGCGATTCTTTGACGGGCGTATGGAGAGCCCAGTCAGATTCAGCGGCGTGTCCGGATTTGTACTCGATCCACACCGTCGGGCGCCTTGGACCCTCGAAGAAAGTAGGTACTATGCGAGACGGCGAACTGTGCATTAGTTGGCGGCACCGCCGCCTAGTTTCAAGGTTCATTAGCTTGGCTTCAAGAAGCGGAACCGAGCCATATCTGTCTGATACTTGCCCATTCTGGTGCCAATCGTCCGGGACTATTCGTCACTCTTCGGCTGGTCAACCGACCCGCATTTTTTTCCTTTCGTCAAGCCTTGGTTGACGTACCAGTGTCCCGGAGTAGCAACACGAGCCTCCTGCAAAGAGCGGCTCAGGCCATCTTAAGTAGTTCCGCTAGCAAGGATGTGAGGGAGCGATTCGGAGTTGGCCCCAAGGAACCACACGAACGATTTGGAGGGGGAGTTGGGAGTCCGCATTGATCGTATTTGGTTACCACCCACGTCAGGCCCCATCCTTGCTAAATATTCGACCGTTAAGCACCCCGTGTCTTCACAAATCGAGTCTTGCGTCTAGTCTTGTCTTTAAAAAGAGGCAATTCGGCTGGGTGGACCGCTTGGCCTTCCCCATTCGTACATTTTAGTACGTCCCTTGGTATAATTGGAAGCCCCTCCATACAGCCTTCGCGAGCAGACGCCCAAGGGTGAATGATCCTCGCGCGAGCCGCCATCCTCTCCGAGGGGTACCGCCGAAGTCTTCAAGCGGCACGCGATCGCTCCCATGAAACCCCCAGCACATCACATTTCACTCCTTTTTCGAATATTGTGATCTGAAGCAAGATCTTGTCTCGGAGAATTCAACCCCGCCCTGCCTAGACAAATCAGGATATACCAGCTCATATTTTCTTCTTAATCCACAGCGCCACTCGATTTAGGGTGATAATGGCGTATGCTAGTTCTTCCCACTGCTCCTCTGGACCAAAGGCAACTGACGTTGATGGCCGCCAGGAGCCCCGATTCACAGACGGTAGAATTAGACCGTGAATATCTCGACACGGTCACATTCCAAGGTCGTGAGTATCAGAAATATTCGATCGAACATCGTACGTACTTTGGACCGGTCGATGAGGTAAGGGGCCCAGATTTTTATCGTTGTCTTCTCACTGACGGCTGAGCCAGGAAGAAGCACAACGACTCGAAGATCAACAACAAGTTTTCCAGAGAATTTTCGATAACCGTCTCATCTTCCCACCAATCCGTCGACTGAGAAGAGTTCTAGACTGTGGGCATGGATCCGCATCCTGGGCCGTCGATGTCGCCGAGCAGAATCCTGACTGCGAAGTGAGATGTTCCCTTTGATTGCGCCCGACAGCATCCTCATATTTTGGTTCATAGGTCATCGGCGTAGACATTGCCCCTCACATGAGTCCAGAGGACATGCCTGACAACTTGTGGCTCCAGGTAAGTAACCCTGTCTCACATCTCACCGCGGGGCCGGTGTGGTTTACACCATGGCAAGGCTGTAACACTGCCTCTGACCCATGTCTTCGTGCTTCGGGACCTTTATGGGATCCGTCAATCTTGAACTCCAGTTCCGTTCAGGTGTGCGTGCCCTCCCGAGAGACAGTCGCTAACGTGTGCCGAATAGGTCGATGACTTGAACCGCCGTTTCACCTTTCCTGCAAACCATTTCGATCTTGTCCACTCTAGACTCCTTGCGACCGGCATCAACCGATCCCGATGGCCATCCTATCTTCGCGACATAGTCAGGTGCGAATCCTCCAGAGCAAGTTGACTTTGCCGCCACTTTCATGAGGCAGGAGTCCTCCAACTGAAACATCAGGACTAACATCAGCGGTCGTCAAGGGTCTTGAAGCCTGGAGGTTGGGTCCAAATGGTGGAGATATACTTCAATGTTCAATCAGACAACGGCTCGATCACCGATGAGCATGCTTTGAGGAGGTGGAGCACACAATACCTGCGTGCACTGGAGGACAGGAAAGATCTTCGGATCGGATCGAAACTGAGAAATCTCATGACCGAGGCGGGCTTCGTCGAGGTGGATGCAAAGATGATTCCTCTTCCTCTATCTGCGTGGTCGACTGGTCAGTATTTGGCTGCCCAGGAAGAACGAACGAGACTGATTAGTTCAATGCAGACCGACGGATGCGAGACATCGGCCGATACAGTTGTGCAAACATGCAGCAACTTCTTCGATCATTTGCACTATACCCTTTGACTCAACGCTTGCATATGTCCCCAGATACTTTCAATTCTTTGGTGGAGCAAGCGCAGCAAGAGGCAGCAGATCCCACACTGAAGGCATATTTCCCACTGTAGGTATTGTTCCAAGATGAAACCGAGAGACAAAGTCTGACAGCGCAGATACGTGTGCATTGGCAGAAAGCCATAAACGCATCGATCTGGACGAATCGGCAAGCATTATGGCTCGATATGGAACAACCTCTTACGAAAGAACAAAAAACCAGTTCGCAAGACAATTGGGCCCTGTGTCGACGCCACGATGCGGTCCCTCCTGCATTCCGCATCCAGCACATTGTACAGATTTTGTTGTTTTGCTCCTCGCATCCCGTTTGCATAAACATATCGCATTAGCGGAAAGATGGTTAGTCGAATGAGCCTTTTTGATTGCACCAGTTCTTTCCTTTTGCCATCTGTAATGCGATGGGGATCCGTATCAATAACCATCGCTGTATGTTTGCCGAAGTCCGGTGGAGACCTCGGGAATCCCGGCATGATTCAACGAAAGAGGGCATGGTCACACAGAGAACGAGTGGAACGACTCAGCGGCGATTGAGGTGAGAAGATGCTCGTAGTCCACCGTGCGCATCACGGTTTCTGCGGAAGCCAACAATTCCCACATACATCAAGTCTTGGCTCCGAAGAGCCTCGTATCCACCCGAAATCGGTGTCGGGGTTACTGCCCAACGCGGTGGGAAAGTGAAGGTGTATCGAATGAGACCTGGGGCCAAGGCATCGCTGTCGCTGCCTAGGTAAGTTGAACTTCTAGTTAACTGCTCCTAGACAAAATGGGAGTGAAACGAAACAGGAGAGGGTTTGAGAGCAGGGAGCTTGGGGGGTGCAGATAGAGCCGTTGAGATGATGCCCAGTGCGCGATACCCGACACCGTTGGCCCCCGATCTGACCATACCCTTTAGAGAAAGATGTTTTTTTGACACATCACGCCCCAAGAGGTGTACCTGATCAGCGAAGTGACAAAAGGTGCAGAAGATAACAGGAAGATGAAACAGGAGGGGACTTACCGAACTGACGGGTGAGCCAGGGAACCACCGATTTTCAGGGAACACATGATTTACACCCATCTCGGAGAGTACATACGTTTTGACTGGCTTCAATGTCAATCCCAGCTGTTACCGATCTCCATACTGGATTGACAACTTGACAGCTTCGTGCAATCAGCTAGCACGCCTGCACGCCTTCACGCCTTCACGCCTTCACGCCTCCAGAGCAGACTCTCGTCCCAAATAGAAAGTGATAGCCCCGACGGCGGCAGCGAGCTCCCCTCAAGCCTCAATGGGCAGCCACAAGGTCCGTTCAAATGTTGCACATTAGGAAAAGTTAGGTCTCGTCTGCTACCGGTATTCTCTATGCAGCAGGAGCTCCGAACCAATACATGCACATTCTTCCAAGGTGGAGTGTGTTCCCCATGCTGGTTTGGTACCCAATCATTACCTCCAAATCGCGAACAACTGGGAGTTTACACAAGCAGAGTTGCATATCGGGATCTAACTAGAGCTGGATTCTTGTTGATTTGTTGGTTTTCTTGTCCCTTACTCGGGAAGAGGCCATGCCACCTTTTAGTGAGTGGCTTATTAAAGTTCATCCTGGAATGCCCCTGGGTGAGAGCGACACTACGAGAAGTTACGGCATCTGGATTGGCGAAAAGAACCAACATACCAACATGAGCTCGACATGCATAAGCTACACAACCTCCTCTTTATGGGTGTGTTGGGGAGCCTTGAGGCGACCATTGGGCACAGATCTACCCGAGAGTCGTGCCTATCGCGTACAGTCCTTGTGATTGGTTTCCAGGGGTTCTGAGGCTAAAACAGCCATGCAGGGGATAATCCAGACCAGACAGATTGCGGCTGCAATTAGTACAAATCGGTCATGGAAGATTGGTACTTGGAAAGCCTATGATAGTCAAAATAGTCAATTTATGGATGTGGAAATCGCAAACTTTTGCCATCAATCTCCAATTCATTTATCTTTTCTGTACGAAGTACCTGAGATCAAAGTACCCTTGTTATTTGCCGATGATGGTTTCCCTCAACTTTAACTATACTTAGCCCGTACGCGGTGGACATCAGCGTAGAGTTAACAGAAAGGAAGATAGTTATGCAGGAACCCAATCTAGATGTGTTGACGCCTGATATGTAAGGCATCAGCCTACCCAATCGGGGAAAGCGGGGAGAAAAAAAGTTGGCGCGGATTTTCATTTGAGCTCTGGGACGCCAATTCTTTTTCCTTAACCACCAACAAGATGCCTTCAACACACAATAAGGAAAAGGCCTGGGATACAGATGATATCGATAAGTGGAAGGTAAGCCAACACATATGCTATCTCTTTTACATCGAAAAAGAAAAGAGAAGAAAAGTCTTTACTGACGCATTCCCGTAACAGATCGAAGAATTCAAACCGGAACACAATGCCGCGGGCAGTTTCGCAGAGGAGTCGTCCTTCATGACACTCTTTCCCAAATACCGTGAACAGTACTTGAAGGAAGCATGGCCGGTGATCACACGAGCGCTGGAGAAGCAGGGCATCGCTTGTACACTGGATTTGGTTGAAGGTAGCATGACAGTGAAGACCACGCGGAAGACCTACGACCCAGCAGCGATCATCAAAGCCCGGGATTTGATCAAGTTGCTCGCACGAAGCGTACCAGTGACACAAGCGATGAAGATCCTCGAAGACGGCGTGGCATGTGATGTGATCAAGATCCGCAACCAAGTGCGGAACAAAGAGCGATTCGTGAAGCGGCGACAGCGCATCCTCGGCCCGAACGGTTCAACCCTCAAAGCGCTCGAGCTGCTCACTAGCACATACATCCTGGTACAGGGTAACACGGTGGCGGTGATGGGTCCGTTCAAGGGACTGAAGGAGGTGCGACGCATTATCGACGACTGTATGGCGAATATCCACCCGATCTACCACATCAAGGAGTTGATGATCAAGCGCGAGCTCGCCAAGGACCCGACGCTGGCGGAAGAGTCCTGGGACCGGTTCCTGCCTAACTTCAAGAAGCGCACGCTGTCCAAGCGTCACGTGCCGTTCAAGGTCACCGACAAGACGAAGAAGACGTACACGCCGTTCCCTCCTGCACCGGAGAAGAGCAAGGTCGATTTGCAGATCGAGTCTGGAGAGTACTTCTTGTCGAAGGAGGCCAAGGAACGCGTTCACAAGGAGGAAGTTGTCGAGCGACAGCGTCTCAAGCGGGACGAGAAGATGCGCGAACGCGAGAAGGATTTCGTTGCGCCCGAGGAGGTGACACCGGCCGATCTCGACGAAAAGAAGAAGAAGAAGGAGAAGAAGGAAAAGAAAGAAAAGAAGGAAAAGAAGGAAAAGAGCAAGCGGAAACGCGATGCCGAGGAGGATGTCGACGCCGACGAGGCTGCCGAGCGCAAAGAGAAGAAGAAAAAGAAGAAGAGCAAGTCCAAGGAAGCTTCTTCCGACGGGGAATGATCTGCTCTTTGATTGTGGTATCGGTATCTTGTATCGGAATTGGCGCTTATGGCAGTGCATAGGTCTGGCGTTTAAATGTCTTGTCTCCTGGTTCTTCGTTGCAACGCAACCGTGTACGCCCCAAGCTGGTGTGTACATTTACAAAAATATTGTTCAATACCAAGAAATGATCTACTTCACACAAATTGTTTTTGAACTGATAGTAAAATCCTTCATTCATCTGATCGATGACCGGCCGTGTTCAATGGTGTTCTCAAATTTTGCCAGTCAAGAAAAAAGAATTCTTGAGTTAAGCCAATTCTATCCACGAATGAAAAGCGTAGACCGGTTAAGAAGCATGACCAGTGACTAGTCTAGGTATTCTCTTAGGGCTGATGTGATCATTGAAGTCCGTCGTCTTTCTCTTAAACCCACGACTGGTCACCTCTTTCTATCAATGGCTGTATTCGGTAGACACCCGCCTCATGTCGTTATTTCCTATCGCAGGCATGGCACGTATAGTACTATGTAAACAAACAGAACAGTCAACCACTCACGACATATCTGAAGACAGTAGTTCAGACTGCTGCAGAAGTCCCCTCATCAGAAGACGACGTACTGGCATTCAATCGCCGCAACTTGTCCAACAAGAACCTCTCCTGCTCTCTCTGGCTCTTCTTTAGGTCAACACCCCAGAACAGAATCAAAAAGCTGACAACACTCAACGCAAACAAGAAGTAGAATGGCATCGAGACATTTCCCGACGGACTTGCGTCGATAATCGCACTGGAGACAATGGGACCGATAAAAGACGAGGTCTTGCCAATGATGCTGAAGAGACTGAAGAACAGGAACTCGTGGCCGCGTGGTGTGACTTCCGAGATCATGATTTGTGAGTAGCTGTACCAGGGGCAGATGAAAAGGCCATAGAACGCTTGGTAAACCTATGTATATTTAATTGGGTATTGATTCTCATATGCCAGAGTGGGATTGACATACCCAAACTTCCCATGCATTGTGGAAGCCGAACTTGTCGGTCCAGATGCCGACCATGCCCCAGCCATCGAGTAGGACGATTCCAACGGCGACGGTGTTGAACATGGTTTTGGTTCCGAGCTTGAAGCGTTGCTGAATTGTCCAAAATGCGTATATGCCAGCCGCCTAAGAGAAATCTGTCAGTTTGTAACCGAATGGCTCGGGAACTTCAAGCTCACTTGTGCAGCAATACCAACAATAAGCAGGTATGTCAGTTCCAGGGTATTATACGCAACGATGCTATTCTGCAAAGTGGCAATAACAGTCACAGTGGTGTTTAGAGAGTCACCAAGTAAGAAATAACCTATTGCCAGCACCGTTAGCACCTAATACTCACACAATAGACATAAGAGAACATGGAGTTTTACCGATCAGATAGAGAAGACTCTGCTTTAAATGCCAAATCTGCTTCATAGCATGCCATAGCTGCCACAGTCCTGCAATAAGAACAGACCGTCTCCCAGGGTCTTGACCGGGACGGCGTTTCTCAAGAGCAAACCACGGAATCGAGACGAGCAACCACACGCCAGAGACGAAGGCGATCAGCACACTCAGCCCCCAGTTGTTATTTCTCTCGCTGGCATTGACATTCAACCCGAACATGATACCCACGATGATCGCCAAAATAAAGATTTCCGCGACAGACTGAACATAGAAAGCGACATTGGCAAGTTTGCTGCGCATCATGCTGTCCGCATAGTCGTATTCATCGCGAGTAATCGTCCCCGCGACATATGCGTCGGCTTTTTCCTTCAATTCGAGGGAATTGCGCGCCAACCCCGGGAACGCAGCGGTCCAGAAAGTGAGCGTGGTCTGATAGGCGATCAAACCGACCATATACAGACCAACCGCGACATGCCATTTGTCCGAGGTATGGACACCTAACCAGCTAAAGCCGATGGCGTAGGCAATAATTGACAGCACGATCAAGATGTTAGGTCGCCAGTGGCCGAAATCGGCAAAACTGCCAATTACCAGGAATATCACGACCTGGATCGCAAAGGAGATTCCATTTGAGAGGAGTACGATACTGTTGATTGTGCGTGGTCTGCCTATAAAGTCGAGCAGTCCATCGGAAGGCGCTGCCTGGTAGAGCAAGTTTTGAAAAGCAGTTGGCGCGAAGTCTAGAACGGGGGTCAGCTTCTACTTTCGCGAATTTCCTGATTGAGAAATGCGGATAGACCCACTGAAGAGCGACAAGCCATTATTTCCAATGTAATAGCTGCGACCGTGGTGTTTAGTTTCCGCACAGGGTCAATTCAGCAATCCACGCACGCATAATAGGCCCAGATTTCCATCCGGGTGGTGCGGTATCTCTCGTCGAATTCATCTGGTGCAGTCGGCTGGTCGATCTTGTTTGAGGGACCATCCACCTCCACAGTGGAGTTGACATTGTTTTTCTGTTGATCTCGATCCATGACTGGAGATAAAAGATGGGAAGGAGAAAAAAAGAAATGGGAAAAAATGGAAAGAGAGTTAAATGAGGTGCGAAACCCCGAGAAGAACCAGTTTGCAAAGCAAGTGCCGATCACGATAAGCTGGACTATTACGATTTATCCCACTACTCCGTAGGCGTCCTGGAGTCCTGGAGTCCTGAAGTGCTTGACTGCTTGACTGCTTTATCTCGTCCTATCACATTTCTCTTCAGCATTTTGGAATTTGGACCTAATCAGGTTAATAACAATTTATAAAGTGCAGCCTCTGCTGAATTCTCTCATTTATCGCTATCCAAGTCCTATCTCGATCACTACCACCCCTCCGATTCTAGCCCATCCTCAAAGAGTCGAAGAATTCACCACAAACCCGAGCATCCCCTTTCTCCCCGTGGAGGTTTGCTTGGATCGACTATGGATGAAGGTGAATGGCGACGTCGCTCAAATCCAGTTGGCCTGGTTGGTAATGGCTGTCCACACACTGCCTTGAAGATGTTCGCCGTGGAACATTGAATTAATTGGGCCGAAACATTCCCACAAATTCTTACTGAAGCTCTGAAAAGAGGTATCCGTAGTGCTTTCCGTGGAGAGACATTTTCGATACCCGACTCGTCCTTACTCTACTGTACGGTCAAAGCGCAAAAGTGGGATGACTTTCAAAGGTTCTATAGTGAGCGTTCTATCGTTCGTACATATCTTTGCGCCAAGCCACCCTCCATTTTCCAAGGTTCGTAGGTCATGTTTGAATAATACGAAAGGGTAATTCCTAAGAATAGGTGATACTATTATCTCTTGTCTTCACCAATCTTCTGATCTGCTACTACTAAACCCGTCCGCTGTGCGATCTACAGTCCTAACACCCTTGGCCCTCGTATTCTATGACACCGCCACAGCCATTCAACACAGCCTGCACCCCATTTGATGCGATATAAAACAGAGCCGCATTGCGTTTCCAGAGTATGCCATTCTCAATATATCATCAAGCACAATGACCTCCCACACAGAACCCAGCAAAGGCACCGCCCCACCAGCCTACGAACCATCATCACCCGACAAAGCAATTGACGACGCAAAAGCCCTCCGCGAGGCGACAAGCGGCCTTCGCACAGACAAAAAGACCCTAATCCGAATAATCCCAGCTGTATCTTTGAACCCACCACAAATGGCACTGCTCCAACAGACCTACACGCAGCTCTACCAGCGCAACCTCGAGGAAGATATCCGCGGACGCGTCCATTCCTATTTCAAGGATATCATGCTGGGATTGATCAATGGCCAAACCTGGGGCGACGTGAAGCGACTGAACGATCTCATTCTGGAACCGTTCGTAGAAAAGCGGGTTCTCACCTGCTGCGAGATCATCTTCTACCGGAGCCAAGCCAAGCTCCACGCGATCAAGGAGCTGTACGAGCAAAAGCATTCAAAGCCATTAGCGGAGAAGGTCCGGCATCACTGTTCGGGGTATACAGCGCAGCTACTTGTCAAGTACCTTGAGACTCCGCGATGTGAAGATGGGACCGACGCGCTCGATACAGCAACCATACGGGCCGACGCGCTGCTCCTGCACCAGGGGATCTGGCGCCAGGGCCAAGAAGATATGGACTATGTATCTGATATCCTGGCCAGGTCTTCGCGCGAGAGGCTCATCGCGCTGATGGACGAGTTTGAAGCCGTGTACCGCGTTAGTCTTGGGAAGTACATCAGGGAGAAGACCACGGGCACGCTTCAGTTTACGTTGCGGGTGCTGTTGTCGTGGGCAGAGGATCCTATACAGTATGCGCGGGATTGTCTGGTCAAGGTGTTGCCGGTTAAGAACGGAGTGGCTGAATGCAGTGCTATTACTCATACGATGGTTTGGGCTCATTGGAATCGGACGATGTTTGAGGCTGGGAAGATGAGGCTGCGGTATACGACTTCGACAAATATAAGGATGGAATTGGAGAAGGGGCTTTATGATGATTCTTATCGGGAGTTGGTATTCAAAATTTATGATGGGAAGTATTAGCGGTTTGTTAGACAAATGTTGACTGTCAATTGTGAAAATGTCAAATATACCCGATTAGAGTACGTGACCTCATGTATACTATTATCGTCTAAGCCTTGGTTCGAGGCGACGATGGCGAGCTGTTACAGTAAGCGATAGGAGGCCAGAGAGTTGGAGTACTTGGTGCATTGGAGATAGCCAATATAAGATAGAGATAGCTGACAACACCAGCCCAGGGGATTCGAAAATGCTTTGTGAATATTTTCCAAATTGGAAAATGGCCGTGGAGTGTCTTGAGACGAAATAAAAGTTCTCGCTGTAAGACCAATTCAACAAGGGAGGAAGGAAATTATATTGCTGATGATCAGCTGATGGTAACCTGCAAAGGCATTCATATCATGATATTTGTCATTTATATAGCGATCATATCGGCTATTATATTATTATATATAAAAACACATTCCCTTACTCCGATCCAAATGAATATTTGAACATATCGTTACTGTCCAGCAACACAAAAGATTCATACCGAAGTCCCCTATCAACCGGCGGCCGTTCAACGTCGCGTGTGACATTCGCTGAGACTTCGGCCCATCCCTCCCACAGAGCTCTCCAATAGCATGCCTCGGCAGCGGGAGTTAGGTATCGTTCTCGGAAGGTTTTGACACTGTTATTGGCTATACGCTCTGCCTTGTCCGGGTTCTTCAAGAGTTCATCCATGCGTTTCGGGAGATCGGAGAAGTCTCTCTCGACTTCCACGTAGTTCTGTTCCGGACCGGACGACACGAGAAGATAGTGGTGGTGTTGGATATACTGCAGCTTATGTGCCACAACGACGGACCGACAGGCTTGTCGATATTTAAGGGATGCCGAGTATGCGCGACCTGGATATCGACGATATCTGTCAGCCTTGTACAGCAAAGTTGGGGTTGTGAAAGAAACGTGCCTTCGACATGTCCGATAAACATGTACCGACAGTGATCCACCATCGATAAGAAGTTGGCCTTCTTGCTCCAATCCAACTCCTTCACATCACTCCAAGGCTTACCCCGTGCGATATGTAAGAGCGCCCGACGCAGCTTTGGTGCAAAGCTCAACTTACCCCGCCATACCAGCTTCTGTTCTTTATCCGCGAATTTCATATTGGATTCAGCGGCCATGATGCTCTGTACGACTTGCCCGTATGGGCCGATTTTACTCTTATCCCAGGACCAGTACCCGAAATCGGGCATCAAAATGACCGACTCCTCGGATGCTTTCCTCGATAACACCCAGACCGGATGGCTGACCGCGTCAACGTCATCCACGCGATCTTCAATCGAGAAGATAAACTCGATTGTGGGATGCGAGGTACGATTTGAGGACGCGGATAGCGCCCGATGGATAGATCCTAGAGTACCAAGTATCTTACGCCGATGGTCATCCCCTTTTGCTCTTGTCGCCACGACGTACAAGTCTCCATCAGAGATGATGGCGCGGGCCATGCCATCTTCGAATGGAACCGTGCTCAGATCCTCTCTTGATATGCCCCCTCGCGACTTCCAGTACTCGACCCCTCGCTGGATGTCCTGGGAGAGACCAGGGAATGCTGCCTGGCACTGACTCTGGCTCAGGCCTAGGTTCTGGTCGTCTCGTCCGTACTGGAAACTCCAAGTTGTAAGGTGTTCTGGTTCCAATAGCGGTGGCGAGGCGAGACAGGTGAGGCAGTCAGCGCATTGAAATGAAGTGGATGATTGGCAGGTGCAGTGGCCTGCTGGGATAAGTTGTGTGAGGAGCCGGGGGACATTATCACGGTCTGAGTTCATCCCAAACCATATCAAGTAGATGAAAACACCGCAAGTGCCAGTAGCGACTGCGAATATCATCCGCCGAAGGGAACACCACCTGTTCCATGATTGGTGCATGGTGAGAATGCTGAAAATGGCGAGAATTGTAAGTGGGATACCTGGGGGAAGGTAAGGAGAACACCGAAAATCCCCCAGGTAGAAGACTGAACCAGCGGCTCAGAGATTGTCTCAGCCTACATGAGGATGGGCTCGAGACAACGGGCCTTTGCCTAGACAGGTAAGTATATGATCCCTGAACGGGTCAACCAGTCCCTGAATGGGTCAACCGGTCCACATTTAGACCCAACTAAACGACCCACAGGATCGTCGCCTGTGACCGTCTCAACCAACCAGATCAGAAATATATGACTAGGTGTAAGTTGTGTAAGTTGAGGTGTAAGTTAGCCATGAAGATCCCGTGCCGGTGGATACCCGAGTGTGGGTGGATACACTATACTCCATAAAGGATTCCTTTAGCGACCTATCAATTAGGGGAATTGGCCTCAAAACCGAAGCTAATGTTCACCATGAGAATTCTAGTACGGTTCGGTATAGTCCTTAAGGAACAGACATCTCAACTAAATCCTGGAAACTGAGAATGCCAAAACTGCGACCCTGTGGCCCTAAAGACATGTAAATGGTATGCACCTCCCAATCAACACGGCGCAGCCCCATTTAGCAACCCGTCACCCGGTTAACCTTGATCATACAGCCGTTGGCGATTTGCTTGCGTCCGCAATAGCTACAATGGCCTCGTTGGCGAATGTCATTGTAGGCGTCCGTCAAATCCTGCCCCATAACTTCACAGTGATTGCCGCTGACAAAAAGACCGCAGGTTCCACTACAAGTTCCAGTGTTGGAATGGCTTTGTCGTGTTAGTGAAAAGTCAAATCATCCATTTTCATTAAAGGGTAGACATACTCGAGATAAGTGCTATAAGTGTTGCTGGGAATAACCTTGCGATAAGCATCGTCACAGCTAGAACCGAGTCTTTCGCAAAAGGCAGAGCCCTTGCAGTCGACGTCCCCTTGGGCCAAGGCTATCAAAACGTTGCCGGTCTCTGCAGAGGGTTCGGTTTCAACCATAACGGATGTATTGCCATTGAAGACGGGGAACTTTTCACCTCTAGCAACGATTGGACCGGGACTGCTGCTGCAATGGTGGCCATGACAGTGACGGCATAAACAGCGTTTTTGATAAGCTGCATTGTAGTAGTTTGGGTAAAGAGCTCTTAGTCAGAGAAAGACAGAAAGATGAGTGCGTTAGGAGAAGAGAAGTCGTCCAGAGGCAGCGAGCATCGACCCTTTTATATCCTTCTAGTCACGGAGATGTCCCACGACACAGAACTAGCTATGCGGAGACATAGGACGGAAATTGTGGTCACCTTTGCATATCATTAACTAGATTGGTATCAGACCCTGGTGATAGTGTTTACTTAATAAGCGACTACGATCGCAGGGTTAGGAGCAGGCTCAGCAAAAGCGAAATTTTATCTAACACCAGGCAGTGCAGTGACATATGTTTCAATCATCCAGTATACTTAATGTTGTACAAGTAACTAACGTATTCCACATGCGAGCGGCGCACACAAGCGAGCGGCGCAGTCCAAAACACATTAACATGCTATTTCAACAACCAACGCTTTTATTTGATTTCATTACTTGCCGATAGCAATTGATAAGCCTTTTTAGTACCATATATCAATTTTGAATAAATCGAGAACTTGCAATGTTATGGTATCGAAAAATACATCGCTGAACTCTAGAATATATATATATATCTCAGTCACTAATTTATTAAATTCCCCTAAGCTCTAATAAGTGGCTAGATATCATATAAAAAGCATTAGGCTACAAGGAAACGTTCATGCAGATAGCTGTTGTTGAAATAGCATGTTATAATTTATCGCTTTTACTATGTGTTTTGGACTGCGCCGCTCGCTTGTGTGCGCCGCTCGCATGTGGAATACGTTATTCAATACCATATCTGATCAAAGATGGGCACACCTTGTAGATTCGGTGTTACTATGTTCTGTGAAGCCCAAGGCCCATGTTAATGCACCTGATAACACAAAGACATCTAAAAAACCATGATCCTTCGGCCTCAATTGAAGTAGTTCTGTAGAGCCAACAACTCTATCAGAATGTATAGCTTTCCTAATCTGGCTAGTATCCCTAATCACCCTCTGGCCACTGCATCATTAGCTCAAACCTGTAACCCGAAGATACGCCGAGGACTTGCCTAAGAAGTTTTATTGATTGACGCGTGAAAGTGGAGAGTTCTACGTACTTTTACGCTATATCCTATGATTGGTCTGCGGTGCTTGTTGTTGCCCTGCCCTGTTCATATGGGTCGGAACCCCTGTTGAACGGCGATCAATGACCACAGTGCTTGAGGGATTTGAAAAGATCTCGTTGCCGCCGGGCTTCCAGCGCGGGTAATGATCCTCCTACATTAGTTGATGTTTTATCGCGTTCAGAAGCGAAGCAGGAATAGGGCCAGCAGGTCGGGGATCCTCAGAATTCAAGAACAGTCTTGCTTACCAAACATACTAACATTAAATAAAAACTAGAATGCCTAAACACCCTAAACCCCTTTTCTAATCCTAACGTGGCCCTGTAGAGGTGATAATGTTCCAAACCGGGTTGGGCTATGATGATGTAAGCGGGAGTACGGAACTTTTTTTGAATGTCCCCTAGCTGTAACCCGACTGGAATACTTTTATGAACAAGGTGGCCTTCGGAGTGGAAATACAGCCCTTGCGAAACTCGATGTCAAGGGCCCAGCATCAGAAGTACAGCATGGATCGAGCATTAGTTATGGACGATTATACGATCATCATGAGGCTGTGAGCTACTCCACTTTTCTAGAGACACTCTTGTTAATATAAATACACTTAGCGTCGGTCGAGGCTGTGCCGCAATCTCCTCAAGACAACACTAATGCACGGGCGCCTAGCTTAGTGCGGGCGACCGTCTCCCAGGATCCAGCATACCTGCGCTGCAATCCTGAGACAGCCCTAATGCACGGGCGTATATTTCTAGCTTGGTGCGAGCGCCCCATCTCGCACGATCCGGCGAACCGTCGGTCAGGGCCGTGCCGCAATCTTGAGACAACACCAATGCACGGGCGTATATTTCTAGCTTAGCTGTCCGCCACTAAGACGCCAATAGGGGATATCCACTGGTCCATGCATTTTCTTTATTGGCACCCTTCTCCGTTGCCAGCGGCTAGTCTACTGCGGAGTTGGCCCGTGGCGGTATACCAACAATCAGCTAACAATATAGCCTCAGGCAATTGGTTGATGCAGCATATCCCTTCTTTGGAGGGATACTTGGCATGTTGGAATGGCCGAAATGTTCCCATGTACCTTACTGTTGTTGCGAGTTTGCCCAGGTATCCAGCCATCAACGACCCGTAGACCTCCGACTGTTGTCCTGTCTGGGAGCTCTCCACTATGAATTCAAATCGAGTTTATATAAGATGGCTACAGACCCGACATACCGGAGGCTAGATAAAAACACAAATCCCTTTTCCAGAACACCTGTCCTGCTTCTCAAGTAACCAAAGGTGCTAACCAAAGGTGCGCGCCGTCGTCATGAAAGCTTTTACCTTTATGTCTTTTGGACTTGTCCTCTCTGCTGGTCTGGGAGCATTAGCCAGCCCAGCGAACCCTGTGTCTCCTACATCAAATGACTTGGATGTCAGGAACGAAAACAATAGTCACATTAAGTACAAAGGAGTAGGTCTCTTAAGGTGCATTGAAGTACGAGACGAAGGGCCTGATCTTTTCCAACTAGGAGTGCTATCCAGCAACCAATCAATGCCATTACAAGTCACAAAGTGGGCTGAACGCTATCTGTCATTGCGAGTTCAAAAAGGTAATTTGCCCTGGAACCCATTACTCCAGGAGTATGCTAACTTCTACGTACAGTGTACCGACGCAATTGAGGATAAGGAATGCTACTTTGATTCTTTCAGTAGAAAGTGCGTCTGTCAGGAGGTGATTAACTGAGGCGGGTAGTTCTGCTGCTGCTATCGGGTTGATTTAGAAGCAGTCACTATGTAGGGGGACACATACAAGTTTGCTGCATTTCAGTATACGTATGTTGTCCTGTTTTTTTACACCATACCAGCGTTGAGTATAAACGGTTATCTCGACATCTATAATTTTCCTCATTGTGCTCCGTATTTTCAACTCTGCTGTGGAGCGCTACAGTCTAGAGTCTAGTCTGATCAGTCCTGGAGGATTTCCTTAATTTATGTACAACATAGTCAGCGTATCTTGCCCGAGACACGCCTTCTGCTGATCCTTTGTTGATCCCCGGGTCTCGTACCCTAAGCAGTGGCATGTCACCAATGGTATATCGGGTCTGATTGGACAAGATTGTTGCTGCCTGTCACAGAGACACCATCTCCTTACCATTCTTTATCTACTCCGTACTCCCCACCCTTTTCTTAATTTCTTATTTATAAATAATATATCCGTTATCTAATCCCATTGCACTCTATCTCTCCTACGTTCATCTCATTTCTAGAGATTCACCCTCGTGACACTCATCACCAATCGGTACTGCCAGCTCTTTACGCTCCTGAACTTAGGATGCACGACTTATTAAGAGATTCACTGAGCTCACCATCGCGAGATAGCCCTTCCGGCCTCAATGTATGCAGCCCATCGGATCGGGTGGACCTCGAGGAGGCTGCTCGAGCAGGGGATTTCGACCTCCTCCGATCTGTGGCATATAACAGAGCATGGATCATGGGCCAAAGATATTGCCGGAGCCGGGCGTCAATTGATTCCTGCGAGCCAGATCTGCATTCTCTCTGGTACGTCTATTATCAATGCGCCAGACATGTCTCCCACGAAAGCTTTGAGCAAGACAGATGGGTCCTCGACATCCTCCGGACGCGGGGACGCGGGCCCCTAACCAGGCCGGCACCGGGCGGTGGCATCGATATTGCTAGAACTCACGATGGGATAGTCTGGAATGACCTGCCATTCCTTGCGACGGACATGACACAGTGCTGGATCAACGACTGCGCGGAAATGGATTCGAAGCAGCGCCTTAATGCTGCGTCCTTCCTTGCGAAGCTGGCGTCCACGCGCATTGCGAACGATCGGCTTTGCCAGATTGCTCTGGTCCTTTTTCGTAATACATTCGAGTCCGAGCGTCCCCTTGGCAGCTCTAATGAGCCGGATAACGAAGACCGTCGCCGGACAATTCATGTACTTACTATTGCTTCGTTACTCCCATCTGCATGTGCCTGGATCCGAGAAGCCGGGCATAACATCATACTCTTATCCGATTTCTCATGGAATGATTGCTCTAACAGTACCATTGGGAGAGGTGGCTTCACCTTTGTCCAGTCGGAGCTAGGTCAACGAGCACCTGGTGGATTTAGTCCCTGGAGATGGTTATACTGGCTTAAGCGGTTACATCAGATTGCCGATGAAGCATCAAAAGCAGATGAGAAGCTTCTTGCAGAGCAGGCCGCGAACGCAATTGACATTATGTCAAGTCACGTCAAGGAGAGGAACTCTCAGATTCTCAGGGTGTTTGAGAAAGCGGGCGATGCTGTGACCCAGGATAAGGATTTCATGGGTCTGAAGAAGGAATGGTAGACACAGCACAACCAGACTTGACGTGTGATCCTATGTCCAAGGATTACTGTGTTCTTCTTTTTTCTTTCTTCTATGTCAATCATATTGAGAGTTGCTGTTCTCGTGTAGCATGTTTCTACGCCCTAGTATACGATAAGGAGAAATTTACAATAGGAACCATTTTATATAGTTGCATTATAAGCTAGATTGAGAGCTGTTGAAAGCAGGAAGTTTAAACATGGAAGAACGCAACACCCCCATAACATAGAAACATGGAATAGACCCCAGCGAAAAGGGCATCCGGTTAGTGAATAGGGTTGCCGGTGGTTTAAATGGTGTAGACATAGAGAATCGCTAGCTGAAATATAACATCCATATATAACTTTCGTGTCTCCCTAGGGCTACAGGGTCATATTCCACTAGTAGCTCGATCCATCTTCGACCCTAAAGATTAGGGTTACGCATAGCATGTCATACTTCTATGGATGAGCAGAACTCAACTCATAAAGCGAATAAATCGAAAGACAAGACTACATACTCAGACCTACGTGCTAGGAGATAGATGGATTTCAGATTGTTACTTTTGATATATTTTGATATAACATACAAGGAAACCATGCCCTCACTAGCAACCAATCTAATCTTTAGACAGTAGTAAACAGAAGTAAGAAATATTACATAAAACCAGGCGGTCACCGACTATCAAATGACAGACTAAGGTGAGTGAGTATCATCCAACCAATCACTCCGAATCGCCCAGGGAAAATGACATGCTTAGAAAGTGAAAGCAAGAGCGAGAGCAGCAACCAGGGCACCGGCGGCAGAGCCAGCGACACGGGTAGCAGAGCTGACGGGGAGGCTGGGGGAGGCGGAGGCGGAGTCGGAAGAAGAAGAGCCGGAGCCGGAGCCGGAACCAGAGGCAGAGGATCCTGAGCCGGAGTTGCTGCCACCAGTGGCGGTAGCGGAAGAACCAGAGGCAGAGCTAGAGGCGGCTCCGGAAGCAGAGGCAGAGGCAGAAGCGCTCTTAGACTTGGGCTTGGTAGAGGGGCGGACACCGCTGGTCACAGCTGCAGAGGTAGGACGGACAGAGGAGGAGCCAGCGGGGGAGCTGGCGGAACCGGAGCCAGAGCCGGAGCCAGATCCAGATCCAGAGGCACCAGAGTCGGAGCCGGAGCCAGTGGGAGAGGCAGAAGTAGCGGAAGAGACGAAGCCGGACTTCTCGGCGACACCGGCGCCCGAGGTGCTGGAGGAAGCGGCGGCAGAGCTGGAGGATGTGGAGGCCTTGCAGCTCAGGTCGTACAGAGGGGTGGTGTCGGTGGAGGAACCAGTGACACCGAAGCTGGGGGCGGTGGTACCGGCATCCTCGAGGATATACCACCAGGTGTTGGTGTTGCCCAACAGAGGGCAGGCAACCTCGTCCCAGTACTGCTTGGCGTTGGCGGTGTTGGCGACAGCGAGGTTCTCAGTGGGGCCAGTAACGGGCCAGCCAGTCTCGGTGATCCAGACCTCCTTACCACCGGCGACAGCCTTGGTCTTTTCAACGCCCTTGTCGAAGAGGGCCTTGGCGTCGTCGATGGAGTTGGGGTCGGTGTTCTCGTAGTACGGGTATCCATCGAAACCGAGCCAATCGACAGCCTCAATGACGGCAGAGTTGGAGCCGTTGGTCCACGAGTTCCAGGTGTCAACGTGGCCAATGGGGGCACCGCTCAGGGAAGTGCCGGAGATGGCGGAGCGGACCTGGTTGATGTAGTCAACAAGCTCGGTGGGTCCGACACCAAGACCAGCGTTGGCCTTGACACCAGTTTCGGAGACACGGTAAAGATCCTCACTGCCGACGGAGATACCGACGACCAGGTTTGTGAAGTCCTCACCGTAGGTGTTGATGGCGGATGTGAGGGCAGCGATCTCATTGCTCATGTCGCCACCGGAAGCCCAGAGACCCAAGAGAAGGGTGGTCTTCTCCTTGATAGCAGCAGGAATGGCCTCAATGGGGCCATTGGTTGTACCACCCTGAATCATGGTGTACAGACGGGCACTGGTGAAGGCATTGTCGGTTCCAACGAGATTCTTGGCAGTTGCAAACTCGGTCTCGAAGTCGGCTTGGGTTTTGAGGCTGCCGTCAACCTTGAGAGCACCGTAGTTGAAACCCTGGGAGATGGCGTCGGAGGTAGCGACGGCCATCGCGAGGGCAAGGAATTGAGCGGAACGCATTTTGGATGTTTTAACGAGTGTTGATATGAAAGATGAGAAGATGAAAAAGGGAAGAAGTAAAAGAATGTAGGGAAATTGAAAAGACAAAAGATGAGAATAAAAGTGGAAAGTGAAAAGTGCAAAGTGAAAAGTGGAAAGTGAAAGGTGAAAAGTGAAAAGGTGGAGGTAGAGAGAAATGCAAACGGAAAGAAGTACTCAGTAAGCCTCCTAAAGACCCTCTAAAGACCAAAAGCAAGGCTGGCTCTAGACATGAAAATTCAAGTCTAGATTCCGCCACAGCGTAGTTCTGTGGATTTTGTGGGTCGTAACACGTTTGCTTGTCCACTTTAACTTTGTTTGAAACCCTCCAATTGGCCGAGCGGATAGTTGATTCCAAAAATATGCAGGAGTGGGTCTTGATGATTCCATGGATCCCGAGGCTGCATTCGATGATTTTGCCCGATCTCCCCGGATATTCCCATCCGGCTTTGGAAAGAACCTCGGGAGTTTCTTCTATTTCACATTTGAACCTCTTTTATTTGTTGCATTTGGTATGTACGTAGGTACATGTTGTAGTGGGTCATAGGCACCTTATAGTACTCTATAGGTAGTACATAGACCTTGTCTGTGCACAAGGGGAATATGACAGAGACACCCTAGTGGAGAATCGGTGTCATTGCATGATCGAGCCCATTGGAAGGGTTCCATTAGGGGTTTATTAATGTCCCCTATGTTGTATACATTGGTCTATTATTAACTAACCCCTTTTGAGCCCCCTAGGTCAACCCTTAATTCATCATGACGCTCTAGTCTAGTACTCTGTATGTTGTACTCCGCCGTTGTCGAGTCTAGGTGTCAAACAATGGCATTCAATATTCTCTTCCGACTGACCCCTTACTCTATATTATTATGTCGATCGAATCACACCGATTAAAATACATCGTAGTTTTGAACTACCTTTACCCAAGGCAATATTGACGGATCAGATCTTCACTCAAGATAAACAAAAATAGTTCGGTAAATTTTACTCACTTTCGTGGTGTAGATTAATAATGTCTTACTCGGCGACTTCGGGCTTGCCGATCTTGTTGAAGCTTGACTTGAAAGGATATTTTCGATATGGGAGGTGTGCTGCTAAGGACAATAATTCGTCGGGAATGGCTATTACCTTTTTGCGGCTATTTTCACTGAACTACATGAACTGGCGGTTTCTTACTCCGTAGAGGATCCTTAGTGGTAGTACTCCGTAGTGCTGATAGTAATGCTCAGGATTGGAAAGTAGCATCCATGGATGGTGCTATTATTTACAAGTAGACGCATTCAGTTTCCCTGTCATCTGGCCCTTTGACTCTCTGGTTCGTCTATTTCTAGATATCTTTTCGATCTATTTTGTATCTCATCTTTTGAAATGGATGGGTTATTATTATATTCTTAGATAAAGGGATCTCAAGGGTCCGCCTTTACCCAACACTACCCTTTTAGGCTTTCTCCCTACGGTCTCTTCCGAAGTCACAAATTATAGCTCGCATCGAATTGTCAGTCTAATAGTTCAATACCAAATTGTAGTTCATATTGATTATACACAATTGGGCTCTATGGATCACTGTTCTATATTTAGCAACTTGTCATCAATCTGCGATAACCAACTGGAAGTGGGGTAATTGTCCCGCAACAACCAAGATGTCAGAAGTTCCCTTTCTCTACGTCAGTCTGAAAATATGGAAGTCACCAAGGAAAAGGTTCAAGGGGTCTTGAACAAATCTGCCCTCCGCTGTCGAGGCCCAGGAGGTGCCATCGCCGTCGTCAAAGATGGCGAGGTCATCGGCCAGCGCGTCTGGGGATTCGCCGACCTGGACCAACGGATTCCCATGACGGCTCAAACCCAGATTCCCATCTGTTCAATTACTAAACAGTTTGTGTGTGCGTTGTTGATTGACTTGGAACGCAACCCAACCCCGACATTAGCTGCAAAGGGCGATGTCCGGAAGCAGCTTTCAGATCATCTCACGGAAATACTAAGCCCGGAGCTCACTTCTGACGGTGAACTGACAATTGACCGGCTATGCGACATGCAATCCGGTATGCGCGACTACTGGGCTATGACCACACTGTGGGGGTCTAAGCCCGACGACGAGTTCCTCATTGAGAGAGACTGTGGTCCACTACTTGCCCGAACCAAGTCATTCCAGTTCCAGCCGGGAACGGAATATTCCTACTGCAATTTCAACTTCCACCTACTTGCCCGAGTAATTGAGCGAGCTACCGGGGAGTCTCTGGACAAATTGCTCGAAGAGCGAATACTCCGACCGGCTGGTATGAGCACGGCATTCCTTTGCCCCAACACCGCACATCACCCACCGCCCTGTGTCGGGTATGAGGGCGACGAGCAGCATGGTTTCACAGCGGCTATCAACAGAATGGAATGGTCCGGTGATGCCGGGCTAGTGGCTTCACTCACTGATATGATCGCGTACGAGAAGTATCTCGATCGCTGCTGCTCTGATCCACAAAGCTGGTATCACGCTGCTATAGCTACGCCGAAGTTCAAAGATGGTACTCCTGCAACGTACCGTTATGGGCTAAGTCACACTGACATCGATGGTGTGGACACGATTGGACATGGTGGAGCGTTGCGAGGGTATCGGTTGCACCGACGACACGCGCCACGCGAGCGTTTGTCCGTCGTCATTATGCTTAACAGTGACTCGGGCACATTCGCCCCCAACATTGATATCTTCAGAGATCTGTTGGGACTACCAAAGCCTGCATCTACATCTGTCCAGGCGGCAGAATCTTGGGTTGGCGCGTTCCTTGATCAGGATACCCAGCTGGCGCTTGCCGTCACCAAGGGCGCACGGGATGGAGAGGTGGCCATCAGCTACGATGGGTCTGCCGAGCCCATTAAGCTTAGTGCACCGAATCATGGAAAGTCTGACTCGATGGTTGCTACGATTGATGGAGATTTGTTGAGTATTCATCGCGTGAGAGATAACCGGATGCTTAGTGCTCGGCGTATTGTCCCGAAAGAATCAATCCTTAAGGAGACTTCATTTCAAGGTATCTACCACTGTGCCGAGATTGAATCTACCTTCCATTGCCTTGGCCAGGATGGGATGCTATACGGTGCGTTTGACGGGTATTTGGGTCAAGGAAATGCAACTCCCATGAAATATCTGGGAGATGATGTCTGGGCTCTGACTTGTCCACGTGGTCTGGATGCACCGGCTCCAGGAGATTGGACTATTGCCTTTTCTCGGGATGAGCACGATGCAATCCAAGGGTTTACGATTGGTTGTTGGTTGGCTAGGAAGATTGATTATGTGAAGAAAGCCTGAGGGTTCTGTTATATCATGCAGAATCATGAAATATAGCCAACTATATCTATCTATATTCTTACTGCACAGGCCTGGTTTGTGACCAGGCACTTGTGCTTCTTGGCTGGTATACTACATTTCCCAATGACAATGCACATTTCGTGACCGTCGGAAGAACATAAGATATCTCAGATATCAAGTCAGCAATTTCTTACATGTGCTTTGACAGATTCTTTCCCTTTCTTTTGCTGATGTTCATGGTGGCACTTGAGTATCCATACCATCGTCTCAATCCCCATTTGCATAAGCACCTTTTTTGCACGCCTTGCTAGGAGAGCAGATACCTTCACCTCGACGATGACTTCTCGCTGGATAGTTCTAGCCGCTTTGACTTCCATTTCGTACATGGTGCCGTCGTACTCGTAGAATCTGAGCCGTTGGCCAATGGCCACAATTCCGCGGACGGTGGGGCTGAAGCGAGGATCTCTATGAATCGATGCAAGGTATCTTTCCAGTTGGACTCTCGCGCGGTTCCATGTATAGCCAACGAATTTCCCCCCTGGCTTCTTGCACTGCACAACTAGAAAGCGCTTGCGGGTATTACCAACATATTGGTGCACTTCGAAATCCGAAAAACCCCGTGAGCCACCTTGGAGGCTGTGATGACCTTGGGGGCAAGTAACATGACCGTTACGGACGTTGAATTGCCAGGTCAATATGGAGTTCGCATACATGACCGACTCGCCCTCGGCGCTGGGCAGGCTAATTCTGAACACCTTAGCTGACCCGGCTGTGGCAATTGAAGCCTTGCCAAGAGTCACCTCTGACTGGGGACTACTAAGAGGCTATATCAATCATCTCTCGTAGCCTTTCAGTCTGCCATCCGACTGCTCGGATGAAAGATGGCACTTAAGGCTACTATGGTGATGATTGGCTCGGACAAGGCTTTCTTGCTGATCTAGCCGTGCCTGAGCCGCCTGGATTCTGCTTCTTGCAGATCTTATCGCAGAGTCAATTACCGTTGACCTGATCCTTAAGTCCCCGTGTCTCTCTGACCATTTCTAGGTCGCTATCGTTACCGAAGGCGTTCGCCTAGGCATCGATACTGACGGGAAATGGCGTGAAAAGCGAGCTTGATATCGAAGTGGAAGGCAATTTAGAGATATCTAGCATCCTGTGCAGGTCGTTGGCTTTATTTGACTTAGATTCTTGAACCCCGTAGGCGACTTCCCCCTATTGTGGTGTATCGGTTTCCTGGGGGATGAGTTTAAGCTGGTCGGCTGTTGCCCTGGTTGAGTTGATTGACTTGGGCTCAGGCGAGAAGGACAGGTTTAGGATTATCATGGCTCTTTTCTCCTCGATGAGAGGTAGTTGAATTCACGTGGAAACTGATTGCATAGTGAGCAACAGCCGGCGCATAGGTATGATCTTCAGTTTACATACCGGATATTGTTTAGTTGGTGGTTCAGCCATGGACGGGAAAAGAAGCATTAGGTGATAGCTCAATTTACGATGGCTGTAGGTCCATCTTCCATCAGGAGGGCAGTGCTCATGACAGGGGATTTCCTCTCCCGTCGTTTGCCTCATGGAACTGAGCTTGCAGGCTGCATGGGGACAAGCCGTGAGACGGCAGAATTTGAGATGGAATGGGGATGATGGGGGAAAGCAAGAAGAAAGTAAGGACACATCGACAAGGCAGAATATCCGCGTATAGACTATCATAATCAAAGAGTCGTATTCGGTGCGTATAGAAAAATATATACAATATCAACAGTCATTGTTAGCAGACGCTTTTCTGCATGTCTAATGCTCAGAAACAAAGATACCGGCCATACCCATGCCCTATTCGAAGAGATTAATATCTAAGATTAAAGTCATGATGATCGGAGGTAACTTACAGTGCCCACGCACATCGAAGTCACGGCGACTCGCTTATCCTGTCGACGTAGCTCAGACAGAGCAGTGACGACCTGGCGTGCGCCAGTGGCGCCCAGAGGGTGACCAAAAGCACTTTGAGATATTAGTATGGTATCAATCAAATCTGGTCGAAGACCACTTACATAGCACCACCACGCGGGTTCACCTTGGATTCATCCAAGCCCAGCTTGTTGACGCAGTAAACACCCTGTAATGAAGTATGTTAGTCTTGCAAAGTACATAGTCACTACTCGATAAACTTACCATTGAGGAAAAGGCCTCGTTAATCTCAAAAATATCAATGTCATCTTTGCTCAAGTTGAACTTGCTCAGGATCTTGGGAATGGCAAGGGATGGGCCAATACCCATTATTCTGGGTTCCAGACCAGAAACGGTAGCACCGCAGAACTTGGCAACGATGGGTTGGCCGAGCTGCTGGGCGCGCGAGCGCTTCATCAAAACCAGCGCAGCAGCACCATCAGTAATCTGACTGGCGTTACCGCCGGTGGTAGCGCTAGGGGCCCACTGGGGGAAGGCAGCGCGGACCTTGCTGAGGGACTCGGGGGTAGTACCGTAGCGGATGCCGTCGTCACGGTCCACGACAATATCCTTGACCTCGCCGGTCTTGGGGTCCTTAATTTGAGTCCTGACGGGGACGATCTCGTCCTCCAGCCAGCCGGCCTTCTGGGCGCGCTCAGCCTTCTGGAAACTGTTGGCAGCGAACCTGTCATGCTGCTCGCGCGAGATGTTGAACTGGTTCGCTACATTCTCCGAGGTTTGGCCCATAGGTTGGGAGTTCTGCGATGCGATCGGGTGCTTGGTGATGCGTTCGGACATTTCGGGGGCGCCGCCGTCGGCGTTCTTGCTCATGCTCTCGGCTCCCACGGCCACACCGACATCGATGGATCCTGCAATGATCTGGTTGGCGATGTTTTGCACGGCCAGTAGACCGGACGAGCAGAATCGGTTGGCGATGGAGGCGGCTGCTGTTACGGGGTAGCCTGCTGCCAGCACGGCGGAACGGGCGACATATGCGGAGCCGGGGCAGAGGACATTGCCAACACAGACATCTTCAACGAGGTTGGGGTCAAGGTTGGATTTCTCGCGGACGGTCTGTTTTGATAAATTAGTTACTGCGATTTATTTCCTAATGGAGGGAAAAAAAAGTACCGTGAGAAGTGAGACGAGGAGATCATCCACGGTGGTATCCTTCAATCCACCCTTGCGGGCTTTGGTGAGCGGCGTGCGGGCCAAGTAAGTGATGACCTGCCAATTGATTAATTCCAAGGTGCAAAGAGTCGTGCATAGCAGTAACATACCACGTCATCTGGGTTCTTGGCTAGAATCTTCTGGCGGGCCGAGCCAGGAGCCAGCTGGTTGGCGACAGAGTTCAGACGTTGTTGTGGTGAAGACATTGTAGATGAAGAAAACAACAAGAGAGACTCGTTCTAATCTCTTTGATCTCTTTAATGTCTTTAATGTCTCTTCACGCTAAAAATGAACCGCGGCTTCTCCAGGTTTCTCCACGCCGAGCCGAGTCCGCCGAGTCCCTCCAGGACAATTCGAGCCGAGTGGAAGTACCGAGACTTCGGAGGTCATACAATGTATGATACGGTAATTGGGCATTCCTCGGCTTGTAATGGGAGGTGGTGATTGGTATATTGATGGTATTGAAGACGTTTCACGGACCCACATGTACATTGGCTTCAAATATTTGAATATTTGAATATTGATCATGATGGGAGTATATTGACAGATAGAGAAGTACTCTGTTTTCAAATGTTGTCTTTAATATGTTGATGCTCATATTTTCAGGAACAATTCCAAGGCACCTCGGGAGAGCTATTTGACCAAAACTGGGGAAAAGCCCAACGGAATATGGGGCATTTCCCGTAAACAGACTCGTAGACTCCACTACGGGTGATGGCCAATGTAAAAAGGCTTAGGGAGTTGCCTCTCCAGGGCTGTTTTTATGAACGGCAGATCGAGTCTGGCTAACTTCCGTTGGAGTCCCCGAGGCCTAGCGATCTTTATATCTGGCCAGTTTCTGAGAGGTTCTAAATTTCCATTACATAGAGAATAGACGATACCCCCCGTTACAAGACATTGAATTCTTGCTGAATTGACAAGAAGCCTCGACTGAAAATAACTCAAGCTTCTCTGCCGCGATGGACATTTTATCCGAAGTCGGTGCGCCTGCGGTAGCTATGGCATCGGCCTTGTCGGTGGCCGCCGGCGCTTATCTGAACGCGAAGCTTGCCATTGCCACTGATTTGCGAACAATCCACAGCGACAAGGCTGCCGCAAAGCGGTTAAGTGAGCGCATCGCTAAGCTCGATGGCTCAACAACCATCTACAAGATGCTCGAGCGGGCGGTGGAAGTGGAAGGTCGAGCTGCCACAGATGCGCTCTGGTTTGAGCAGAAGACCTGGTCCTATGGCCAATTGAAAGATTGTTAGTATCGCTCCTCCGTCGAGAGGACTTATCACCTAGGTGCATCTGATTGCTGATACGACTGTTTGCAGTGGTCGACAGAATGGCTGCTCTTTTGAAGAGCCGTGATATCAATCCCGGTGATACAGTGGGTGTCTTTACCACCAACTCACCGGAGATGGTCTTGACCGTATACGCTCTATCAAAACTGGGCGCTGTGGCAGCGATGATCAATACCAACCTGCGAGGTTTGTCGATCATCCAATTCCAACCCAGGGGAATAGACTGTTGACACTAGTGACAGACGATACTTTCATCCATTGCGTCAACGTCTCCGGCTCCAAATTAATCGTTTCAACCGCAGACCTGTCTCAACACGTCTGCGTCGACCTACCACACTTCACACTCAGCCTGGGTTCATTCGAAGGTGCCGAAACAGGCGCAATTGAGCTCATCGCCTCTGGAACCCTCCAGCAATTCTCCCCATCAGGACTTGCAGCAGCCAAGCGCAGCCCAAAAGACCTTTCCCTCCTGATCTACACATCAGGAACAACCGGGAAACCCAAAGCCTGCGCGATCCGCAACATGCTCACTCTAATCACCTCCAACCCACACTCGGCAGATGTAAACAACCACTCAAGGTACCACCCATTCCGCGTGTACTCCCCTCT